TTGTTTTACAAATAACAGCATTATTTTTCAGTTTAGAAGTTGGGATTTTATTGATTAATAATATTTCTGAACAATCGATCAGGCATATTGAGAACTGTAATCAATTCAGCTTCATTATATAACCTTCATAGTATATCCCTTGCCGACTGGGGTGGGCTTCCCCCACACTTTTGGAAATTACAGACGTAAGGCGTGTTTATCTTCTTGGTTTATTAAAATACGCTTTAGCTGCTTGATTATGGATCATCGACTGACGTAGCATTTATACGATGGAATCTAGCAACTTCGAGGAATGCCTGAGACAAATCACGTAGAAGACCAGTTACTTTGGTCTTAGGACGAAAATGCCAGATCGGGGATACCCCGACTTCCGCTACCAGTCTACATCAGTGACATCTGATTTATCGCAAAAAGCGACATCTGTGGAGAGCTGTTAAAACTAATTTCGTAGCGAAACTTAAAGCGTTTCGTACCACGGATACCACGAAGTTAGGTTAGTTTCACTGTTATAAAGAGAAAACTTCACGTACGTTTCACTGCTCCATACATTCGGATAGGCAAAGTTAAAGGCTGTAAAAGTAAGTAAGTAAAGCTATCTCTGCAACAGGCCGTGGAGGCCCATAGGGTTGTGGGATGTTGAGGTTCCCACATTTTCTAGACAATCGGCTCATATATGGCGGTAAGATTGTCAGCCCTACGCGCCGGCCGCCCTTTACCTCCAAGAATATTCCTGGTAATCATTTCTGTTATAGGCTGAGTCGACCCCACGGCCATAGTGCGGCCGGAAGGATTAGGTCAATTGAAAAAAAATCCAATGACCTCACCGGGACTTGAACCTGCGACCTTCTGCCTTGTAGCATAGTGCCTCAACGAACTACGCTACCGCGTGAAGTTAAAGGCTGTAGGCATAAAAAATTCCCAGAAGTGCTTATTTTCAAGAATCAAGGCCAACAGTGCAAGGGTAATTTCTTTGAACTCACGTATTACTCCAAATTATGCTCCCCTTCCCACTTTACCCCTCCGCACAGGACACAAATGTTGGTCATTACCCTGCAACCCTTGCGTGCACAGTGATTGCCACATGCCCCGGCCCCCTTAACATTAAGGAACCCGTGCATATTGTCCATACAGTATGTTCATGTCTTTAAAGTGATTTCTGGAATAAGCAGCAATAATTCCCCCTAACGGAATTAACCTATTGATCTTTGTAATGGAGAGCAGTGTGTATTTTGAGAGGTTACTTAGCTTAACGTTCGCTATTTTGAAAATGAAAATAGCAGGCTTATGAGATCACCTTACCGTCTGTGTGTCTGTATTTCTCCCTAACAACGTTTGAATGCGTGAACAAATCTTTATGAAATTTGGTGTGTATATCATAATACCAACATTGAAGCCTCTGAAATACCTGAGGCAGAACCTTAATACTGCTCGAACGCCTGTACCAGTCTTCATGAAACTTGGTATGTATATATATGTCGCGTAAAGCCATCTCATTAAATCCGTGCCATCAGTAATACCAACATTGCAGTCTCTCAAATTCGTCGTGAAAGGAAAATAGACAATTAGTTGTTGCCAGAACTTCTTTTTAAGTATTATTTATATTAGTTGCTCTCGACTGGAGGTTCGTGACATGTAGACCTGCTTCATGCATTGTCAAGGGCTGAAAAGAAATCTTGACAACTTTCTCTCGCACCTTCGTGGAGTAAATAAATTTCGTCTGAAATTAAAATGTATGTATATATTGTTGTGTTGTTCAAAGTCTGAACTTCGAAGGTTTTTACAATTTTGTTCTCAAGAACATACTCAGAAACCTAATCTTGTGGACTTCTAGTTGGTGGGAGGCATGTATTCTGGCTTATAATTCCGTGTAGTTCGAAGGAGTCCGATGTTTCGATAGAACGTACTACGTCCATCTTCAGATTTGAAGAGTGAGCCAAGCTCAAGTTGCGGCCTACTTTTACTGGTTTCTTCCTTGACTTGTTCTTCAGTCCCCAAGATGTAGGCGGTATGTATCTCCGAAACTTCAGGCTTTCTCCAAACTACACGGCGTTACAAGCCAGAAGGCCGTACTATTCATAGTTACAGCCGTGAGAACCTCAAGTTCACGAAGACAAAAATAGACTTACGGAGCAGCTGACTGCACACCTGTGCGTGGCTGTTACTTTCATCGTGACGTATGTGTTATAGTCGCGTCCTGTAGGCTTCATTCGGTCGGTTAGGGATAGCTGGTTTCTGGGGCTTCGGAAGCTTTTGAAAGAAGGGTTTTAATGTCTTTGTCAAGAGTCGTTAGACTTCCTGCGAAGTCCTACACAAGCACGCACCCTGAACGCAACACTAGGATACAGAAGTCCACCACACAAAAAGCAAACACGAAAATTATGCATGTGTAATCTAAATCCAGTATCCGACATACATGCGACAGCCTGGTTTTACCGTGCTCGTCAAGAAAGAGATTGTTACATGGCACACGGGACGACACGTCTAAATAAAATAAAACAACAAAAGTATTAAAAATGGTATTCATAATAGTAAAAAAAAAGTAAGTAAAGCTATCCCTGTAACAGGCCATGAAGGCCCATAGGGTTTTGAGACGTTGAGGGTCCCACATTATCTGGACAATCGGCTCAAAGATGGCGGTATGGTTGTCAGCCTTACGCGCCGGCCGCGCTTTACTTCCCAGGATAATTATTTAATTCCTGGTACTCATTTCTGTTAGAGACTGAGTGAACCCCACGGCCATAGTGCGGTCGGAAGGATTAGGTCAATTGAAAAAATCCAATGACCTCATCGATATGTGAACCTGCGACCTTCCGGCTTGCAGCATAGTGCCTCAACCACTACGCTACCGCGTCCCCTCTGCATTCATAACAGTAATAATAATAATAATAATAAACCAACATTTGTCTCACTTAAGCTAATTCAAATTATTCTGTTATAATTTAATTGACCGCCCCTGTGGTCTAGTGGTCAGAGTTCCTGGCTACAGATCCAGAGGTCCCGGTTTCGATTCCCGGCGCTACCAGATTTTCTGAGAAGTAGTGGGTCTGGAGCGGGGTCCACTCAGCCTCATGAGGATAATTGAGGAGCTACTTGAATGGAAAAATAGAGGCTCCGGTCTAGAAAACCGAAATTAGGGCCGTGGGGATTCGTTGCACTGACCACGCGACACCCTCTATCCGCTAAAGCTGGCATTAACTTCGCCGACAAGCGGCGGTCGCTCACTCGGTATAGTTCGCTTGCGGACTACAGGCCAAGGAGTTTCTTTTTTATTTTGAGTTCAGAAAATATGTCTGTTAGTACATTCTTTTCAGTGTATGTTTGATGTGCTACAACTGGAATTCATGCTTGTAGCAAGAATCTTAAACCTTTTAATATTTATTAAAATCGCATTAAGTGTTACGTGTTACTTTATAATGAAAACATTTTTAAATGTACTTTGAATCGTATTTTTGAAAATAATTTTTAAAACCCCTATTTTAAAGCCGAATAATTACACCTTTCTCACTTTTTTTCTTTAAGAAGGTGTCGACAGTGCAGACATAGCACGTTTCATGTTTGAAAAAATCTCTCGACTTGGAAACCAAATTCTATATAAAATACGAAACCTTCTCAGGAAATCTTGGAATCGGTTTCCACTTCATGGACATCACTGTGAGCCGGGGTTCAATTGCCTCCAGGAGCAAGACCATCTCTGGGGCCTCAAGCGGCCGGGGCCTTAAGCCTACCACTCACCTCCATCTAGTGCCGAGGTCACTCCCCCATACGTCTTCATGGCACAGGGACAACTTTACAGTTACCTCTGCCTTTTACAGGAGCATAATGCGGTCTTTGCGATGATATGTAATTTCGCTTAGTGGGGGGTGGAATACAGCTGGGTCAACTCGGCACGGCGGCCACTGATTGGCCTATACTCTGCCCAGGGTGATTATGATGATAGAAAATTCGGTTAAATGAAGATTGGCAGGGGAAACCGAAGTACTCGGAGAAATCCCTACCCACTGCCACTTTGTCTACCACAAATCCCACTTGACCAGACCCGGGATCGAACTCGGGCCGCCGTGGTGGGAAGCCAGCGACTAACCGCTTGAGTTATGGCGCGGCCCTCGATGACACGTATGTATGTCCTACAGGATTCACTTGTTTATCTTTACAACTCTTCAGATAAGATATAACGAAGCTGGCTGTCACCTTTGGTCTTAACTCCTCCCTTCCTGCCCCCCCTCCCCCCGTCAGCTGTTCCACACGGTAGCTTAATCCACTAATCCTGTTCGTTCATTTCACGCATGTTTCAGCAGTGGTGGCTGATTCTGGAGAACACAAGATAACGCCGTTAATTGCAATTAACTGACGGTAGAAGATTGTTTCATTTGGGCCGAAAGTTCATGGGATACTCACGACCAATTTATATGTAAGAAGAACACATAACACACGGTATGTACGCATATTGCACTATCCAATCACAAGAGCTTCGTTCAGATTCAGACTTCAACGGGCACAAGTCAGCGTCACAGAAAAATACTGAAATGTGAACTTGTTAACTGGTAAGGTAAAGTTGTCCCTAATTAAGCACTGCGTCATGAAAACGTATGGGGAAGTGGATGTATAGATCCACGTATTTTTGGCCTCGGCATTAGTCACAGGTGAGTGCTGACCGTCACGCTCCTGCCGCTTTACCCCCGAGAAAAGAGCCCCCGGTACCCATCGGATAGGCTGGGTCGTTCCCAGAGACGGTCTGGACTTAATGGAGAAGAGAACAATCGCTTGCCCCTCCCAGGAATCGAACCAGTAGTCCATCCTTAGCTTAGTCACTATATCGACTGAGCTATCTCAGTTAATTACATATAGAACAGAGAGCTTCAAAGCTGCACCTTTATGAAGACATTGCACGATCAACGCGATGTGCCGGTTGCATCTGTTCCTTGGAGGCTAATGAATAAATTCATTGGAAAGTGTTAAATGTTCAATATTTAAGGAGTTAAAAGTAACGCGCAGGATGACCAGAAAGTTTAGTAATTCCCGTGATATATTGCGGCATTGTACTAAAGTAAGTCGTAAACGTAAGGTTATCTCTGGGCTTTTAATTAATTAAGCACCACTTCGGGGAGTAGGAGGTACAGCTCCACCGTTCTAAATTCCGGCACTAGATGAAGGTGAGCTGTGAGCTTCACGCCCTGGCCCTTTTATCCCCATGGAAAGAGCTCCCTGTACCCAATGGATAGGGGGTTGGGTGGGCCCCACAGTCGGCCGAGAAAAATATCTTGGCCCTGCCGGGAGTCGAACCCCGACTCCTCAATCATCCAGCCCGTTGCCGAGTGATCTATCCCCTCTAAAGTCACCACTGTTTCGTTCCAAATCCTTTTCCAAAATCTGTCATCCTACAATTCGACACGATCGACGTGGTATAGACACTGGCAGTGTCAATAGAAACCCGAAAAACATAAGCACTGCAGCTTCGTTTAACGAACGGAGAACAGAAATCAGTCGTTACAATTTTTTTCGGGTTTTCGCGTGTTCGCAACGAAAAGTTGCAGAAATACATCTTTTAGCTTTACCATGTTTTTTGTGTTCGTCCGTCCGTTCGCGTGTTAACTCCAGAACCGCTGAATGAGATTTTCATGAAATTCAACATCCAGGAATTTTAAAATATGTCGACAGGTTCCAGTTAGGATCAAAATCTGACGGCATTAATGAACACTTCATGTGAAGAGCTGTTTACCTTCGCCCATCTCGCTTGTAAGTCGCGCATATTTCACTAATTTTTTTGTCGTCGCGAAAAAGTTTTCGTGAAAAAAAAACACATTTTTTTGCCCGATACGCTGTTTCTTCATTAAGTCTTCCTTTTTTAATAACGAAACGACAGGACAACAACACGCGGAATTAGCTCTAGCTTGAAGAGCACTTTCTCCTAAACAGGGTCCCCAGCCTATGGAAATTAAAAAATGACTTAACTGCTACTGGATCTTAATTTTATTTATCAAACACGTTCTATATAATACTGTATGTAATTTAATGTGACTTAATATTAATGTGTACATATAATGATACAGATGGAATTTTTGGTGCCCCGGTAGCCAGAAAGAAAGTTTCATGGCCCCATTGGGGGCCTCAGCTTCCACTTTGGGAAATGCTATACTAGAAACTACACCGTGTATTCTGGTATTTACTGACGTTTCGGAGGAAACTGTTTCCTCCATCTACAGAGTACCGCTGTGAGAACCTCAAATCTCCCCTTTCCTCTCATTTAGTGCTGAACAGTGCCCCCCCCCTCTCTCTCTCTCTCTATGGCTTTACAGCCCTTTGGACCTTGGCCGCATTTTTCAGTTTCTTAATCCTATACACTGTCGATAGGACTCCTTGGATTGGGGATCAGCCCTTCACAAGGCCGCTACCTACGCAGAACAACACAAACAGAATAAACGCACACAGATATTCATGCCTAGAGTGGGATTCAAACCCACAACTCCAGCGCGCGAAGGCGGTTCATGCGTTAGTCCGCGCGGCCGCAGTGCCCGATACTACGGAATATCTGTTTACGGCCAATATTTCTGATATGTTGATGGCTGTGTGCGTGCGCGTGCGCGCGTTCGTGCCAGTGTCAGGTTGAAGGTGCGCCCCATCTGCTTCAAGGATACGAAAAATGTGGAAATGAGGCCAACACGCACATATGTTGAAACACAGAAATAACATAACCCACTCGTGTGAGGTTTCCCACTATCAGCTGCAGACAGATGATGGAGCTGGCGCACAAAACGTCAGTTACGCTCTGCGCAGGCGCAGATGCTTCTTGCGGCTTACCCATGACACGTCAGTTTTGCTGTGCGCAGGCGCAGGTCGTTTCTTTTCTCTGTAACGGTCTTCCCGCAATAACATTTTGTCCACCAACTTCTCGGTAGGTAAATTGCAGGATGTGAGAAGTCTGACTTTGGCAGATTTCACGGTCTTTGAAAAGTAGCAATAATGGATTCGGATTCTCTTTAGAATAACAGCGAACTGCTACATTTGGATTTATGAATATTAAAAAGGGGTTCTTCCCGAATCGTTACTAGGGTACATTGACCAGGGTCATATTTAAGATGACTTCATAATTTTTCCCTATAGATAGTACTTATTATATTCTTGTTAACCCTGCCTACAAATTCAGAGGTTCCGGGTTCGATTCCCGGCGCTACCAGATATTCTGAGAAATAGTGGGTCAGGAACGGGGTCCACTCAGCCACGTGAGGATAATTGAGGAGCTCTTTCAAGGAAATAGCTGCTCCGGCCTATAAAACCGAGACTAACTGCCGTGGGGATCCGTTGCGCAGACCACACGACACCCTCTATCCGCAAAAGTTGGCACTGACTTCGCCGACAAGCGGCAATCGCTCGGTCGGTATAGTTCGCTTGCGGACTGCAGGCTACGGAGATTTTATATTCCAGTTAACACTCTTTCAATCAAATGGAGTTTGCTGTCTGTGCCTCTTAGGCCCGTTAGGTGCGGTTCCCTACGCCAGTGGCCCTTAACATATTGCAGCCTGTCATTGTCACAAAATGCTTAATCTTACCACAGCAACAACAAAGCTCTACCTTCTCGAAATATAAAAGGGCGAAGTTGTCCCAGTGCTTAATTAAGCACCGAACCATGAAGACTTATAGGAGATGACAGATATAATTACGTATTCTTATGTCCGGCAGTCAGTGTTCAGCTTCACGCCCCGGCCGCATTTCTCCTGCACAAAGATATCCTGGCCCTCACTGGATAAGAGGCCGAGTGGGCTCCAGGGCCGGTCTGGGCGCTGTGCACAAGCGGTCGCCCCGAGAGTGAAGCCCCCGTAGCTATACCGACTGAGCTATCCCGGCTCGCTTTTCGAAAAGTGTCGTCACAGGTATTGAATTTTGGCGTTGTATCAGACATTAATGGAGACATCAAGTGACATGAGTGGGACGCGGCCCAGTGCTGCTGAGATATGTAGACTTGGAGTTTACGGATTGCGGAGGTTCTGTTATTGGGCTGAGGGCCTGTTCTGAAACGTCTGCCTTTTAAACAGTACGTTGCTTTAGATAAACGTTACCCATATGAAAGAAGTAAATGTTTCATGACCCACATTTTTTCGTACAAGCAACAAAATTAAACTTGGACTTTCATACTTATATAAATGACTCCAGAAATCGGTAAAATTTGTAAGGTAAAGGTAAAGCTGTGCTCTTAAATAAGTACCACGCCTTGAAGACGTATGGGGGAGTGGAGTTATAGCTCCACCATTCTTTAGCATTTCTCGTCCCAGGCCCTTTTTACCTCCAGGGAAAGAACCCCCGGTACCCATTGGATAGGAAGGCTGGTTAGGCCCCAGAGTCAGTCTGGACGTTATGGAGAAAATAGAAATCTTGCCCCTGCCGGGAATCGAACCCTGGTCATCCAGCCCGTCGCTATACCGACTCAGCTATGTAACAGATCAATATGATATTTATATTTTATGCGTACTGCATGTTATATGAACAGGGTCAGCTCGATAGACTTGCGATCCGATGCACTGAACGACAAGAATTTCGGTTCCCAGCAAAGAAAGGGATTTAAGGGCCCAAGTAGCCTCTTACCCGATGGATAACGGGGGTTCCCCGGATCGCGTAATGCTGTCACCTCCATCTAGTTCCTTAAATGTGGATTGGCGGAGCAATACCTCCACGCCTAACGTGCTCATGGCGTAGTCCTTAATTACAAATTTACGCACGCCTAGTACTCCTGCAACGAAAGATCATAGAAGAAGACCGCTATTTTCTGAGACGTAACACAGTGTAGTTCCTTTCATGTATCTCAGAAGCTCTTACTCATGGGTGCCGCTGTGAGACGTTGGCTCCAACAGCGGGCCCGCCTAGAGTTCAGGAGCGCAGGAGACCCATAGGGTTGTGAGAGGTCGAGGCTCCCACATATAGACAGTCGGCTCACAGATGGCGGTGAGGTTATCAGCCTTACGCGCCTGCCGGCTGCCCTTTACCCCAAGAAGGTTCCTCTTACTAATTTCTGTTATAGGCTGAGTCGACCCCAGGGCCACAGTGCGGCCGAAAAATACGATCTCATCTGCTACCTCCGGCTTGTAGCATAGCGCCTCAACCAAATACTCTTCCGCGTGCCCCTCAAACACTACCTAAAGCATGTTTTCAGTGTGTAGTAATGGGCGCCGGGATGGGGGGTCAGGCACTTCCCCATCCATTTTTTCCAAAAACTCAAAACTGAAAAAAAAGAAGGTAATACGAAATATGGTAATACTAAAAATTAGAAAGTATTTTGATCACTAACTTCGCCGACAAGCGAAATAGCTTTACTGCCTCTCTACACCTACGGTAAGCTACAAAATGTTCAGGCTGAAGCAACATTTGGTGTATATTAAATCTTAATGGTTTTCCAAAAATGTGCGGGGATACACCTGTAGTTTAAATAATTCTTGAGAATTCGGCGACCCCCCACCCCCTTAAGAGGAGTATCGTGACGCACTGTTTGAAAAACTAAGCAGCATAACTGCGACACATTACGGTGGAAATTGCTCGTGCATTACACAACATTTGGGAAGATGGATCTCAAGGTTGTGTTGGCACGCCTTTGAGTCCTCAAATGAGGCAATCAGCTACTTAACTGTGGATTTTGACGCACTAAGGAACAAGAAATACGCATAGGAACCAGTCGAGGAAAATCCAATTTTTGGTTCAATAGATTCATCAGTATTTTCAAGACATAATTTTCGCATATCTATCTTTCGGGTGTCGTAACATTCATAAAATTATGACGTAATCTAACGATATCGCTCGCAACATGTGGTAACAAAGTAGGAGTCGGGATAGCTCAGCAGGTATAGTGATTAGGATACAGTCTAGACAAGAGAGTCGGGTTGCATTCCTAGCGTTCAGACCATCTCTGGGGCCCACTGAGGCTATCCATTGCCGGGGTCAAGCGGCTGGGGCGTTAAGCTAACCACCTCCATCCTGGTTATTTATTTTACGTCAGTTTATACATAACTGATACCGCTCAGTCGGTATAGTGGCGGGCTGTAAGGCTGGAGTTCGATTCCCGATATGGGCAATAGATTTATCTTTACCTCACAGTGTCTAGACCGGCTCTGGGGCCCACTCAGCCTCCTATTTAGTGGATACCGACGGTAAAGCAGCCGGAGCTTGAAGCTGACCACACACCATCTAGTGCCGAGGTTAAGAGTAATGGAGCTATACCTCCATTCTCTCATGTCTTCATGGCATAGTGCTTAATTAAGCGCAGACATAACTTTTATCTTTTATCAGTTTCTACACTAGACAGCCCCGAATGGTAGGATAACTGACGAACAATTAATTGTAAGGGAGCGGTTGTGGCCTTAATTCAGAAAGTATCCCGTAATTTTCCTAGGAGGGACTGAGGGAAACCACGAAGAACCTCAGTCGGGATGATGTCTCAAGCGACGTTCAAGCTTAACGTCTCCGGAATACGCGTCTAGAGCTTTACCGCTATACCAACGCGCTCGATGCCATGGTTAAGAATACGTGAAGCTATACCTCCATCCCATACGCCTTCTTGGCGATGTGCTTAATTGAACACAGACACACATTTACCTACCTTCACCCAACTATTATTAACTACATCACAGAGGTACACCTCACTTTATGGCTTTTAACTTTTTAAGAGCACGGTGGTTACTGTACAGGGTGTATCGGAACTCAACGGCAAAACTTCAGGATCGCGCTCCTCATGTAGTGTATAACAACATGGTTCCCGAAATGCATAATTACAGAGTTACCCGACCTTTTAGTAACGTTAGTGCAATCCGACATTGCCAACTCTGTTGCACTGTTACACTGAATACGTTTGTAACGCCAGCTAGAACACTCTGGTCACGTAAAAAAAAAACTCTGTGATTTTAGTCCGCAAACGAACTATACCGACCGAGCGACCGCCGCTTGTCGGCGAAGTTTAGTGCCAACTTTTGCGGATAGAGGGTGTCGGGTGGTCAGCACAACGAATCCCCACGGCCGTTAATTTCGGTTTTCTAGACCGGAGCCGCTATTTCCTTGAAATAGCTCCTCAATTATCATCACGAGGCTGAGTGGAACCCGTTGCAGACCCACTACTACTCCGAAAAAAAATCTGGTAGCGCCGGGAATCGAACCCGGACCTGTCACGTATCAGAGGAAATGTTCAAAGTGACCTGCTCCTGCCTGAATACAGGCCTCCGCTCGTCGTCGCATTGAGTGCCGCACACGACCAAAAATGCTCGGTGTAGTGCGTACTGTCTGACAGGCTGCCACAATGCACGCATGGAGAGTTAGTACATCAGCAATAGCAGTCGAATACACAACAGACTTTAAGTGTCACCCCAGGTAAAAGTCCCGGGGGTTTAAGTCAGGAGAGCGTGGTGGCCAAGCAATCGGTCCACCTCTACCTATCCAGCGCCCAGGATAATGTGCATTAAGGTGCCTGGGGGCAGACAGAGTGAAATGTGCGGGAGCACCATCATGCATGAAGTACAGCTGTCGACGGGATGCTAGTGGCATGTCTTCCAAGTAATCAGGCAATATAGTATGCAAGAAATCTATGTGGTTCTGTCCATTAAGCTTGTCCGGAAGAACGTAGGGTCCCAACAAACAATCACCAGTCGGCGTGCACTCCGTAAATTACACGCTCAGATAACTATATAATTATGCATTTCCGGATCCATGTTGTCATACAATTGTTTCCTCTCTGTATGAGGAGTCCGTTCATGAAGTTTTGATACACCTGTATATACAGCCTGCGTTAACCCACTACAACTCTGCATTCTGCCCACACAGTCTATTTGTGTGTTCCATATGATTCTCACAATAACCAGCATTAACTGGTTGGGCTCTGTTATGGTGACGTAATGTGTTTCCTGTGAGGTACGAACTGAATTCTATTATATAAAGTCTCTACATCCTGCCCACACAGTGTATCTGTGTTCCGTATGGTTCTCACAATAAACAGCGATTGTATCCCCAAACAGTGTTAACCGTTTGGGCTTTGGTGTGGTGACGTAATGTGTTTCCTGTGAGGTACGAACTGAATCTGTATTATTTAGAAGAAATTCAGGCTTTATAGTGTTACCGAAACCTCATATTTTTGGCTCTGTCTGTACACAAAAGTGTGTGTTGCGTCTAGCCGAGTATAGTTCCAATAGTTACGAATGCATGCCATGGGCTCTTGTTCGATACGTGGTTCATTGTCCTTCCAACACTTCACTCCCTCCTCGCTTCACCCCATCGTGCGACGAAATCGATATCTGTTCTTGGTCCTCGACCTTAGAGGGGTTGTTGCTAAGTTAATTTCACTCACTCACTCACTCACATTCACTCGCCTGTTCTGTGGATCCCTGCCCGGCCGTGCGTTGCTCTGCCTGCCACACTAGTTGCCACTGGACTGACAGCCAGCCAGCTGATGCGTAGGGCTGGGGTAGCAGAGGTCTCAGCATTTGCAATGGCAGGGTCTGGGAGGGGGAGACACAGGAACAGCTGCTGGGGCTGGCTACATGCCAGCCACGCGTGCGCTGTGGGAATATGGCAACAAAGTAATGACGCAACAACTGTCTTTGTTTCGCCGTGTAACAACCTGCACAGAAACATAGCTGTGACGTCACCTAACCTATCCAATAAAATCTTAATTTAGTCACAGTGGCTTTTTCTTGAACTACTCAACGAGTTCGCTACCGCATAATCCAGTAGGGATAAAGCGGTCGAAACGTGAAGCTGAGCACTCCAAACCAATATGTTTAAAAGGGCAAGATGCAGCTCTTGAAATCTGTTTTACTTCGTAGGATTTCAGTAACGCCGTGTAGTCCTTTGAAAATCAATCGACGTTTCGGAAGAATATGTCACATCTACCTTCAGGCTTGAATGATAAGCCAAGCGTGAAGCAAGCGACAAACAAGGGCTTCTTACCTGTTTCACACTGGTTTCAGGGTTGACTTACTCATCGACTTGTATTTTATTGCATCCTGTTGTGTAATTCAGTATGGATGATATTGTATTCTTTGTCAACGCAGCACTATTGCAATATATGGGGTTCCTGTCAAAGACGACATGTTTCGACACATGTGTGCCGTCTTCAGGTCTTGTTTACAGTTACTGATATCGTATCATACTCTGGCGTAAATTTGCGTGTAAGCCTAGTTTCTGGTGTTTATACGCTACAATGTATATATATACACCATATCCGTTACTTAAAGTCTGTAGTTTAGGGGACAAGAGATGTTTCTGTCTCCCACAGCGTCCAGGCTGTCTCTGGGGCCCACACAACCCCTCACCCAATGGGTACCCAGCTGTTTCCCCAGGAGTGAAGCGGCAGGGGCGTAAAGCTGACCACTCACTTCCATCTTGTCCAGAGGTCAAGAATGGTGGAGCTACACGTCCACTCCTGGACACGCAGTAGCGTAGTTGGTTGAGGCACTATGCTGCAAGTCGGTAGGTCACGAGTTTGATACCAGATGTAGCCGCTGGATTTTTCAACTGACCTAATCCTTCCAGCCGCATTTTGACGCTGGGGTCGACCCAGCCGCTAACAGAAATGAGTATCAGGAATCTTCCTACGGGCTAAAGGGCGGCCGGCGGTTAAGGCTGATGCCACCGCCATCTTTGAGCTGATTTTCTAGAAAATGTGGGAGCCTCGACGTTTCACAACCCTATGGGCCTCCACGGTCTGTTGCAGGAATAGCTTTATCTTTACCTTACCATACCTCCACTCCCCTATATGTCTTAATGGCGTGGTGCTAAATGACATGATTAAGTTCAGGGTGAAGCTGTAGATTTTGAATGTTACTGTGAATGTATAGCACTCAACAGGACCTGAGGATGGCACACGTATGCCGAAACTTTGTTATATGGTACGACTTGCAACACGAAGTGGTAGCTGGTCGATGCAGTCTTGTCGTCCCATATAAACAAATTTAGATCTCTTACGAGTATGTCCAAAGATTTACATGGGATTCGCCGGTAGCTGTGTTTCCGCAGGCAATAGTGTTGTGTTGACAAAGAGTACAATTAATGTTATCTACTCATCAACCCTCAACATACGGGCGACATGTTTCTCCTCAACGTGGGTTGACTTCCAGCGGACTACACGGCGTTATGTCGAGGCTTCCACATTTTGTCTAGACAGTTGCCTCACAGATGGCGGTGACGTTGTGAGCCTTACATCCCGGCAGCCCCTTACCCCACAGGAAGATTCCTGGTACTCATTTCTGTTAGTGGCTGAGTCGACCCCAGGGCCATAGTGCGGCTGGAAGGGTTAGGTCTATTGAAAAGTCCAGTGAACTCATCGGAAATTGAACCCGCGACCTTCCTGCTTGTAGCACATTGCCTCAACAACTACGCTACCGCGTGCCCCCTTATGTCCTGTGCTTTAATGCAAATCGCGGCCTGTTTTATGAACGGTCTCAAACACTGGGTCCAGTCTAAAATCGGGAGATCCCGGGATCATATCCACATCGAAGGTGTTCGTGGTTTTCCGCGGCCTCTCTAAGCAAATACCTGGAGAGTTCATCAGACTAGGCGATTACCGCGTCCTTACATATGCCCTCCAATTCATTTCTCAATATGTAATGGTTATTTTAAGCATGTATATAAAAATAGCCTTTGCAGGTATCCTTATAGGCGAACGTGATACGGTCTAGAGGCAAGATTACGCGCTTGATGACGAAGGAACCGGGGTTCAGTTCTCCACATCGGCCACACTGGCTCAGAGGCCTACCCAGCCTCCTATCCACTGGGTGTCGGGGCCTGTTCCTCCCCTTCAAAGCAGCTGGAGGGTTAAGCCGGTCGGTCACCCCATTTAGTGTCTATATTAAGAAAGCGTGGAGTTATACCCCTACTCCCTCATGCATGGCGCTTAATTAAGCGCAGGGATAATTTTACCTCTACTTTTTTAATGTAACGTGATGTAACTTCTTTGTGTTCAGAATTGCACGCACTCAGAATGTCAGAATTAATTTAAATGTCCGGTGATTGAGATTAGCTCTTCCTAACAGTCCAGCGATTGAGAACAGCTTTCTAACATCGAGTGATTGAGATTAGCTCTTTAACAGTCCGGTAATTGAGATTAGCTCTTTCTGACAGTCCGATGACTGAGATTAGCTCTTTCTGACAGTCCGATGATTGAGATTAGCTCTTTCTGACAGTCCGATGATTGAAATTAGCTCTTTCTAACAGTCCAGTTTTGCGATTAGCTCTTTCTAACAGTCCGGTGATTTAGATTAGCTCTTTCTAACAGTCCGATGATTGAGATTAGCTCTTTCTAACAGTCCAATTATTGCGATTAGCTCTTTCTGACAGTCCGATGATTGAGATTAGCTCTTTCTGACAGTCCGATGATTGAGATTAGCTCTTTCTAACAGTCCGGTGATTTAGATTAGCTCTTTCTAAAGGTTCGGTGATTTAGATTAGCTTTTTGTAACAGTCCAGTGATTGAGATTAGCTCTTTCTAACAGTCCAGTGATTGAGATTAGCTCTTTCTAACAGTCCGGTGATTTAGATTAGCTCTTTCCAACAGTCCAGTGATTGAGATTAGCTCTTTCCAACAGTCCAGTGATTGAGATTAGCTCTTTCTAACAGTCCAGTGATTGAGATTAGCTCTTTCTAACAGTCCGGTGATTTAGATTAGCTCTTTCCAACAGTCCAGTGATTGAGATTAGCTCTTTCCAACAGTCCAATGATTGAGATTAGCTCTTTCTAACAGTCCGGTGATTTAGATTAGCTCTTTCTAACAGTCCGGTGATTTAGATTAGCTCTTTACAAAGGTTCAGTGATTTAGATTAGCTCTTTCCAACAGTCCAGTGATTGAGATTAGCTCTTTCTAACAGTCCAGTGATTGAGATTAGCTCTTTCTAACAGTCCGGTGATTTAGATTAGCTCTTTCCAACAGTCCAGTGATTGAGATTAGCTCTTTCCAACAGTCCAGTGATTGAGATTAGCTCTTTCTAACAGTCCGGTGATTTAGATTAGCTCTTTCCAACAGTCCAGTGATTGAGATTAGCTCTTTCTAACAGTCCAGTGATTGAGATTAGCTCTTTCTAACAGTCCGGTGATTTAGATTAGCTCTTTCCAACAGTCCAGTGATTGAGATTAGCTCTTTCCAACAGTCCAGTGATTGAGATTAGCTCTTTCTAACAGTCCGGTGATTTAGATTAGCTCTTTCCAACAGTCCAGTGATTGAGATTAGCTCTTTCCAACAGTCCAATGATTGAGATTAGCTCTTTCTAACAGTCCCGTGGTTTAGAGTAGCTTTTTCTAACAGCCCAGTGATTGAGATTAGCTCTTTCTAACAGTCCAGTGATTGAGATTAGCTCTTTCTAACAGTCCGGTGATTTAGATTAGCTCTTTCCAACAGTCCAGTGATTGAGATTAGCTCTTTCCAACAGTCCAATGATTGAGATTAGCTCTTTCTAACAGTCCCGTGGTTTAGATTAGCTTTTTCTAACAGCCCAGTGATTGAGATTAGCTCTTTCTAACAGTCCAGTGATTGAGATTAGCTCTTTCTAACAGTCCGGTGATTTAGATTAGCCTTTTCTAACAGTTCAGTGATTGAGATTAGCTCTTTCTTTCTTGATTCAGACAACAAAGGTGGACGGGCATCTACTCATTTGGGTCCGCTAGATAGCGCTAATCTCAACCACTGGACCTATCAAACTGAGTAAACACCTCGCCACCATTTCACCTGGGGACGGAAACAGATGCAGCCTCCGAAACATTCTGTTCTTTGGGAATATTTTGTCCGTTAACTCAGTAATCTCAAGTGTATCATATCACCGTCAGAACCCCTGAGAATTGACCTCCTCAGCACTGCATACTCCATGCACCACGGAAATGAGGATGCGTCATCGTCAGTGACGTACCCATTACGTCATCATTAGAGTTCATCTGCCTTGACGCATTGGGCTCTTCCCTTCTTCCCATTCAGAATTAACTATCAGAAAGTTACTAGATTTTATTTTGCAACATATTTTCGATATTCACACGCTGGAGAAAAATTCAGACATACTCTGAGAGAACTTTTCTTTCGTGAGGCTGGTAAAAACGTTGGTCCCGTGCTTAACTAATTAAGTACTAAGCCACGAACGCGTACGGAGGAGTGGATATATAGATCCATATTTTCTTGACCTGGGCACTAACTTGAGGTGAGTGGGCAGCTTCACGCCCCTGCCACTTTACCCACGGGGGAAAGAGCCCCCAATACCCATTGGATAGGAGGCTGGGTCGGCCCCAGGGCCGCTCTGGACGATAAGGAGGAGAGAAACTCTTTACCCTACCGGGACTCAGGGTCGTCCAGCCCGTAGCAAGTCGCTATACCGACTGAGCTATCCCGGCTCCAACGTACTCTCGTTCGTATGGTAAATAAGGTATAGGTGTCTCTGTGCTTAATTAATTAAGCACCACGCCATGAAGACATGTGGTGGAGTGGCGGTATACCTCCACCATTCTTGACCTTGACACTAGATGGAGGTGAGTGGTCAGGGTCACGTCCAGCCTGCTTTAACCCTGGGTTAGGAGCTCCAGG